CGACCTGTCTCCATGCACACGAGTCCGGTATATTGGTAGATCAGAGAACCGACTCCTAGCTTGGTCAGCTATCCCATCTTTCCCCTCTTGTATCTTCTTTAAACTATATACTATACGCCGACATAATATCTTTCAAAACTTTTTTTCAATAAGCAACGTCAACATTCATCATCACAATCATCGGCATCATCATATCAACATAATCATCATCATTATGTTTTATCCTCATAACCATCACCACCATCATGATAATCATTATTATCAACATCATCATCATCGTCACAATATTATTATGCATAAAAAGGGCATTTCCTTCTCTGCACATTTATGTCGTTATTCTTTTGCAAGGATCTAACCACCAGACTACAAACTCAGATTATTGTGATTACTGCTCGTGCGACTTTGATAACTGGCATACAAGAGAAGTCTAAAAAGGGGCTCTCTCTCTCTCTCTCTCTCTCTCTCTCTCTCTCTCTCTCTCCGTATTTGACATCGGTGAGTATTCTTAACATACCACATTTCCCCCCATATTTTGTTGGCAAATTGTCAATTTAGTACCGACTTTTTTAATTCACTTGTAATATGCATTTCTGGATGAAATTTTGCCAATTGTAGAATTTGACCAGTCATGTTTAGCAGATCATTACAGTTCATCACCTAATATTTATACCTGCCCCTTTTCAAACATTCATCACTCAGATCTCAAACATTACATCACATTGCAAATTCACATCATGACACAGGACACATTAAAAGATAAATTGTTCAGACTGATTTGTCATTATAGGGATTGAAACATTTTAATAATCCATATCATATTGATAAAGAACAAAAACAGGGATAACTCGAAAATAATGGCAAACAATATAATAATACATAAATCAAACACATCACAGTCCGATGTGCAGATAGTACATAAATGAAATCGTTGAATAAAGTCGTTGCTTCATCATCACAAGTTCCATTCATTTTCAGATGCTGAGACATAAATCAATATGATAATAATATTATATGAGTACAAGTCCAAACAAAATTCATAAGAATCATAATGTTTATCAATTTTTGGATACCTTGTGACTAATAGCAAGTATATCGCAAATATATCATCAGATAACTACTCAAAAACAAATATCAACTACTGGGAGGAGACTATTCATTGACTGCTTTTTTTTTTATTCAACTGCTTTTATATGATAACAAAAACAATGTTTCACATTGTACGTGAGACATTGCTCAAAAACAGACTATACGATTTGGTCCCACAGAAAGGTTATATGAAGTCAATACTCTGCCTACATTAACTATATTAAAGAGCCACATATTTTTTTCAAAAAGATATATCACAATTTAAATTCTATGCCATGGTTTTTTCTGTTCTACATCGATACACAACAACATTCAGAAGGTAACAGAAAAAGTAGAAATGATATCGGCATATGAATGTTCAATTTTGATTGGTATGAAAAAGAGGGAATGTCTATTGCAAGGAAATGGTGCAGTCTTCAAAAAAGGGCAGTAGTCATGGCTTAGAAACACAAATAACTTCAGTCTTCTGTTCACATATTGCAATTTTTCCCATTATCGAATACACATGATCATCCCTGTAGCAAACAGTATTAAATGATGCAAACAAAACCTGATTTGTATAAATTTAATGAGAAAGATAAACTATTTTGTTGTCTTCCTGTAATTGCATGGCAGAACAAATTTTCTTGTAAATGCCCTTTTAATGGTCCACCAACAAGTTACAGAGTCATGAATTGCACAAATTCTTTAATCGTTTCCTTGAACCGTCATCGCCTACTGAATTCTGTCATTCCCATAAGCTTAATACAAGAACCGCTTAACTTCCATTAGTATTGGGTTCATGATTGATTTACAATGTTTCTCTGATGCAACAAAGGAATGATATGAAATATTAAAACCTCTCCTTGATCAACTAAAAAAGATATCACTGAAACTTATCAATGCATCCTCTGATCATATGCTCCCCTTGTCCTTGACAGAAACATTTCCTAAAAATAATAAAGCTTGAAATGTTCCCCTTCAACATACCCTTCTGTATATTTAAATATTCAAAAATATTTTATTGCTTTGTAAAGGGAGTGTGGTAGCCTTTAATTGATAAACAACTTTTTACGTCAAGTTATTCAATAAGAAATTTCTTCATACGATTTTAACAAAAGAAAAATAAATTCTGAAATTCTGACATTTCTTTGCATTGGACAAAACAATCACGTTCTTTACTTATAGAGCATGATAAAAGTAATAATCACACATGCCGCAAAAAAAAATTCTTGTTGCTTATTTTGTATAACAAATTTAGCCTTCTCAAAATATTTTCAAGAAAGCATAGAAACTACCAACACTCTACTCTCTTTACTATTTCTGAAAAAAAATTCATTGTCCCAGCCTCTCTGTTAAAGCCATTTTTTCAGGAACGAGGCTGGTCCAATTATGGGAAAGGTCATGAAAATACCCAACACTCGACTCTTACATTCTACAATAAAACAAGAAAGGGACTTGTGCCATAAGCAATTTTGGAAGAAAGGTGAAAAAGAATTAACAGTTGATCAAGTCAGCAAATGATGCATTTGTTTTTTTCATGTGTTACATCAGTTTTCAAGAAGCAAACATGGAAAATATGATGTTTAAAAATATTAGAGCGGGCTTCAGTCTACACCATGGCAGGCAATGGCAAATATTTGGACAAAATTGTTGAATCGAGAATGATAATTTGCAAAGAACTGAGAAGGGAAACATATAAACATCTAAACCAAAAGTATAGATTATGCTCAACTAAATATGTTCTAATGTCACGTTTCATACAGAATAGAATATAAATACATAAGTACAATATACCTGATACATATAAATACGTGTAGATACATAAACAACATTCATATTCATATAACATATATTTATTTATTGACTGTATCGTGGATTTTTTTCTTCGTCTATTAAGAGGTCCACAACAAATTCTTCGTTTGTTTCCAATTCGTAAATCAAATCCACTAAATATAATCGTTAAAAAGTAGTAAATAGTCCATAAATGTCCATTACGTATTTGCATATTATTGGTATATAATACTTGTAAATATCAGTATAATCTTGTACAGAATTAGAAATTACATGTATACATTGGGCATGTGATGAAAATTGACTTTTCTACATCTAAAAATCAAACTAATCAACAAAACAATCTTATCTAGAATGAAAGAAACCAAATACAAGAACATTTATCTATTTTCTCAGCTTAAGGTTAACATATTTCCACTAAAATGACTACATACCGTATGTGGTATTTTGATTACTACTGGTTTAAGACATCTATCTTTGTTTGTTTTCTCCAAAATGAGCAGTATACAGATATACATAATGAGCATGAAAGATTACTTAATATATATATATCTTCAATAATTATATGTTTATCATATTATAATGTGTCTTTCTCCTATTTACATTATATAACAGCAATATAATGTGTATTGAACATTTATTCATAAATAACAACATTTAAACATATAGAATAAAGAAATGCTTGCATTTACATAATATTCTATATTCCACCATAGCGCTACTTTCTATACATCCAACCATATCCACTATCAATTTGTCTCTCATATCATACTCTTTATATTGTATATCTCACAATGTTATCAATATCTATGAATATATATTTATAGTATGATGAATATCATATGAAATGAGAGTCATATAAAACTATTGTGTAACTAAGAAAGAGGAATGATCAGAGCAAAGATGTTTTTTTTAATTTATATCATAATTCAGAGATGCCTCAATATCTGCCTTTCATTACTATCAATAAATGTTGGTTATTTCTACATTCAAAATACAAGCATTTCACCCTTTGCATTGCCCATTTTTCTGTTTACTCTCTCTTCCACTGATCAAAAGGAAGAGACAGATATTTTAATATTGTAAGTATTTTCAGTCCTATTTGTATGCAGATCACACTTTTTTTTAAAGCACTTCCACAACTGCTTCAAGACCCAAATTTATTTGAACCCAAAATAATGTCTCTTGGAATGTGGCCTTTGGGACTGTCTGATGAACAAAAACAAAAACAAACAAATAACGGCAATATATGGAATAAAATTTTCTTGACACTTCTGACTGGAATGCAATTTTGTGCTGCTGTTTGGAGCATTAAATCCAGAATCCATCATATTAACAATCTTTGTTTCTTTGGTAACAGGCATTTTTTCCACTACATCTACAACATCTATACAAGATACTTTCCAGAGAATATATATATTCATATATCTATATCTCACCACCCATTCAATATACAGATAAAGCTGAAGATCCAATAGAATTTTAAAATTTCCCTATATCAATAAATATAATGATCTGCAGTTATAACAATAAACATCGTCCAATATCAATTACGCACAAAGTCAACAGAACAGACATTAAGTGATAGAGCGTTTTACAGAAAACAATCCTTCTTGCGTCTCTTAAACCAAGAAATTCTTTCATTTGAAGCACTATAAGCCAGTCTGTATTCAGACTGTACAACCTTTCAAAGCGTTTATGTATTTACACGATATTGATTATCATATGTACATATATTTTTTCCCATGATGTTATTGCATTTGAAATGACAAAAATTGTATGTGGAGATAATCATAACACAAAAGTCTACTCAATTTAATTTGTACCATTTAAAATCTATATCTACCAGACTATGAAGGACTAAGCGTGTACCTCTATTGTCTAAGTTCGTTAAAATGTGAGGTTAGACTTGTACTCAACGCCAGTAGGTTTTCACAGATATGTAAGCCTATGTATGGAGGGCACAACAATATATTTTAACTATTACTATGAAGTTCAAATCATCTAGTTTGCGTTCTGTTTTTCTTTGAAGTCAATGAAATGTATGTATGCACCCAATCTATAATGTCCTACCGTGTTTATAATGATTCATGTAACAAAATATCAAAAATTGATGTAAATTCATCTTTCCTCCTTTTCGTTTTTTTTTTCTTTCTATAACCTCTAGGCCTCCATGTTCTGTTTGTCCAGGGTTCCCAGCACCCATCCTATTGAACAGCTTCTGTGACTGGTTGAAAATACTCAGTATCTTACCAGCCGACCAATCAAAACAGAACTTACATTCCTACAAATGTAGTGTATGATTATAGTACTTGCATATACCAACAATAGAAAAATACCCTATTTAGGTGAACGAGATATATATTATCTCAATATTTTTTTTCTTCTTTCCTATTTTTTCCAATCAATTATTGAAGGGAATATATGAATAGTGTTTATCAAGAAAATACAAGCGAAAATGTCAACTATTACATCCTATAAAGATGTTGATACATGTAATATTATAGCACATATGTCTAGCACAAATTAATTAAAAAAAAACAATCAATCCACGTTACAAGCTACTGTTCTTTTATCACACAATATGATTGGTGTCTTTCTATTCCAACTTGAAACTGTTAGTTTTGAGAAAATCCCGTTTATTTCTGGAGAAAACAAATAGTTGTCTCTTTTGTCCACTAACAAGATACAACTTAATCTATGACAATATTACTTTTGCCCAAATTACTGAAATAAACAAATCACTCCTCTGGAACAAAACCAGCTAATAAAACAACAAACAAACTGATTTTGCAACCATGTGCAAAAGCAAGTCAACATCTAAGACTTGTATGGAAGTTCCTCTTAGCAATTAATAAACATTTGAAAGAATGGAGATTAGAACATCTTCACCCCTTGACGTACATAAACTTCCAACATACTATTAGTCTTCTGTATCATCTGCTTCCTTTCTTCTCCTATTAGCACATCGTAGGCACAAGTGTTTTCTTTCCCTTTTTATTCAGGAAAAGAAGGCTTGGAATTTTGATCATGTCAATATTTGTCTTCGAGATATAGAAGGGTTGCTTATTCAAAATACAGTATAATTTCATACAAACATGAAAATGGGTAAGTAAGTTGGTCTTCTTCTCACATACATAATTCTTTCGATACCACAAGCCCAAAATATGATCAATTAAATATATGGTGATACTACTATCAGCAGCGACGGGGCTAAAAGGAAAAAATGACAGAGGTGCCTCCCTCGTCTACAGAAAATTGTTGCCAATCTGCAGGGAGGATGAACCGTAAAGCCGAAGCATGCAGGCATATTCCAAATGGTTTGAGGTGCATAGAAAAGAATGGGGTTGAAACGCCTCTACATTCAAAATGATCATTGTGGATTTAGCACCTTGTGGAATGACCCTTCATTGGATTTAGTGGGAGGGAGAGCCAGAGGGCTGCAACTTACATATCAATGATTTGCCTATTCAGTGTCATGCAAACATTACCCCCACACACTAAGTAATAATGGCAATCACGTTATTGTTGTCAAAGTTTAGGACAGTATCTTGAAGACCTGTTACACAACATGTGTCTTTTTTCTGATACTGTGGCTGTCGTTGTCTTCAATATCCTATGTGAGTGCCACATCTTACAAAATAAAAAGCAATTGGAAAGTGACCAGTGCACAGATTGCGTATGGGTTAATTGCTTTTACAATGCTATCGCAATGACATCTTGTGTGCATCGGGCATTACATTTCTATTTAACAACGCAAGCATGATTTTACATTGGGCGACATAATTTTTACGTAAAAGTTGAGATAAAGGTATTCTGATCGCATTGGAAAAAGTAATAACTCATTCATGATTATGACCATGGACACTTCTACTCATATTTGGGCTGAAAGTAAAATCGTTTTTTAAACTTATTTGTTTGATACACAACTCGGGGCAGTAGCTCAGTCAGATTTTAAACTTCAGTTTCCAGATTTTAAAGGCTTTTCATTAAAGAATTTTCATTTCAAAGTGCAAAATGTGTCTTCTGGCTCTGTAAGTGGATTTACTAAAAGAGCATTGCTATAGGAATGTGCTTCAGAATGCCTGCATGACACCAGGGGTGGCAACAGTGCTAAATAAAATAGGCATACATTGGTATCCACAACCTCAACTTTGAACCTCCACATTTTGCGGGCTTCAGAGTGATCTTCACATCTTTTTCTTTGATTCCAGACTAGCAAACTCAATCAAGACCTTATCTTGCATTTTATGATAACCTCACAGTAACCAGGAGTCCCATAGAACAACTAAAGATAGTTATCCTAAGGAGGCTTTTACTCAACCTCACATGGTTGCGAGAGAAAAAATGGAAGATAAATGCCCAACAATTAGCAATGCCCATATCCAAAGAATTACACCCTTGCTTTGAAACAGGGTGAGTTAGGGCATTGTTACAGATGTTGTTACAAACTCCAAGATGGTCTTTTACACTACAACTTGGCCCTGAAGATCCACACAGTGGTGTACTATCTTCAGACAAACTCAGACTTCTCTAGAAACCATCCTCAGGCACCTGCAGCAAATCGATCAATGTCTGCAACCTCCGCAACAAATGCAGCATCCTGTCACCCCTTCCTAGCTCAAAAGAGATTAAGATAAGATAAGATGACAACTAAAAAGCTATGTCAGGTCAGGGATCCTCATTTTGTACTGGCCAGGGATACCATGGACCCCTCAAGAGATGAGATGGAGCCCCGCTGGTGAATGTCCGCTACGGACGATGTGTTGAACAGTTTGTACCACCCCATGACAGGGTGTGAGAGATCGAGCTCAGAAAGCAGGATTTGCGCGACCCCCATGAATATCTTGCGCTCCAGACGGCCGTAGTCGCCCCAGACGGTGATCTGCAGTACCTTGTTGCTGTGGTCGTCCTCTATGAACTTGAGTGTCTGCTGGTAAAGCGGATCCAGCGTCTTACGGGCAATCTTTGTCTTCAGCTTGGCCACGCAGTGCTTTCCGTCCATCAGATACACCTTTACATAGGGAGCTGCATGGGGATGGAATACAAGAGGAGACAAAAAGGAGAAAAGAAATGTTATTGAAATCAAAGAACTTTTAGGGAAACCATCATGTAATGAGATGCTTGTGATTAGTTACACAGTTTCAAAGAGAGCTGGTTGAACAGTTCAAGCAGAGAAGAAAGAACAGTTCATCTACTGTTGAGAGCCAGAAGGTCAGACATTGGTTCTTATTATCGTTTTGAATATTAGCAGAAATTTTCAACCTCAACTTAAAACAATTCCAAAATCAAAAATGAAATGAGGATTCAAATATAATACCCCATTTCATAATTTTTTATTTTCCATCTAATGACCTATTACACTTACCTATAAAAGATTAAACACTAAAGGCTATAGCAATACTGACTTTCACTTATAAAATCTAACTCAAATTGAAAAAAATTACACCACATTTTCTAACACATGTTAATGCAAATCTGTAGGCCTAAGTATATTCCAAAGAGTAAAAAAATGAGAGAGGCAAAAGATTTGCACTTAATTATGCTATCCGGATGAGATATGAATATATTGAAATAATCTGCACATATCTTAAGAGACAATGGACCTGCTGACCACATGACCTGGAGGAAAGTATATCTTCTCCTTACCTGGGGGAACTTTGACCCCTGGCTTGGCAACCAGACTCCTTGCCCTGATGACTTCCACCTCCAGGTTACCCCGCTTGTCCTCCAGACTAAGTTGAATGTCCCCCATCCAGGGAGACCCTAGTGCTTGGCGTCCCACCAACTGAGAGGGCCCCAGTCCGTCCAGGAAGTCGTTGAACTGGCTCTCCCCACCGAAGCGGAAGTTGGCTGGGAGCATAAAGCTGCAGGGACAATTGAGAATAAGAGATTTATGCTTATTAAGAAATATGTCATCCTTTTGGAGCCAGAAGGGTTTTAACTCAAATCATTTGACAGACTCTGAGGTAACACCCTTCTGCTTCAAAGAGACTTCATGAAGAGGATATAATGAATGTGTTTTATTAAAAGAGATATTAAAAAGGATACATATTAATACAGATAAATTGTCTGCTGAGGACTAGAAGGGCACTAACGCTGGGTTCAGGGATTTGGGATAGCAGCCCTCCTTGCTCTAAACACGACCAGGGTAATATGTGTAAAGCGCCATAAGCGTCAGAACCTGGCCGATATCGGCACTATATAAATAACCATATTATTATTATATCTTCAAATGCCTTTATACGTTCAAAGACATATATGCTCAAAATATGGCTATGGTATTGACAGAGTCTACTCAAAAGAGAGTACAAAAGAGAGAGAGAGGAGAAAGATTTGCACTTTATTATGCTATCTAGATGAGATATGAACACATTAAAATAATCTGTTGCATGTATCTTCAGAGACAATGGACCTTATGTAAGACTACCAATGGAGTTTAAGATATTCATCTTATGCAATCTTCTATTGTCAGAGTAAACTGTAGGGCATTTATTTTAAGAATAATTAAGCCAGTCCCACATATAGTGTTTTGTGTGGTAATAATGATAAAAATAATAGTCTTTGTATAGTGCTTAATAATATCCAGTCACTAGACCATGACACCTCTACAAACCAAACCTTCTGCGGATGAGTACTCACCTACTAGAGCTATCACTGCCAAAGCTACAGATGCTGCCGTCGTTGCTCTCTCGACTAGCCTGCTTCTGCAATCGATCTCTCATTTCCATTGGCAACACTTCCTCGCTTCGTTGTATGCTTGCCCGAGGTTTCTTACCTGAAAAACACAATTTTATGGCATTGAATAGATTATAATTTGCAAATAGACAAAATCGATTTTGTTTCAAATTAAAGAGTTTATCAAAGAAATAACGAGTTCCGAGTAAAAAGAAGAAAAAAGAAAGAAAATTATTCAAGTAAAGTCTTCTCATATTAATGTTTTTACCTTTAGGTTTCTTATTCCATACTTAAAGAATGCAATTTTAATCTAAAAATGTTCCTTACAAAGGTAAGACAGGAAAGTTCAATGCTCTGCCATGAAAATCTTGTACAAGTATAAGCAATCAGGCTAGTCTGTCTGAAAATAAGAATACATTTACTTCCTGTATGATAAAAGAATGATATTCAAGGGATTTTCGGTAATCATATTTGAAGTGGATGAAGGAAGGAAGCTTGTGATTGGATACATTAAATTTAATATCACTAAAAATGGGAAAATGATCAAAAAGCATATTGAAGAAATCCATTATTTAGAAAAAAGAAATTAAAGGTTAACCCACCCCTCAAACTGATTAAAAGAGGAACCTATCAGAATATTAGAAGATGCTTCTCACGTACCTGCCAAATTTGAGGTGCTGTTACTCTTCTTTGAGAGACCGACTAGAGAGGCAACCTTGGCGATGGAACCACGTCTCTTCTTGCCCTCCACGCTTCCCTGCTCGGCCGCAGAGTCGGAGATACTGCCCTCGTTCTTCTCGTACATGTACATGTCTGTGCTGCTGGTGCTGCGGTTAAGGGGCTTGCGCGTGGGGGCGGGATGGTGTTCCTGCATCTTGGCTGTGAAGGCACTGTGTAGGGGGTGGGGGTGGAGAACAAAAGCAGATAGGGAGGATAGGTTATTGTGTGTGTGAATTTGCTTATCAGTTCTAAGGTAGTGAACCCATTGCATATGGGAACCAGGGGCCCGTTTAACAAAACTTGTCATCAGTGACAAGTGACAGTCTTTGTTATAAGCTACTGAGATCCTTGCTTCTGATTGGTTATCAGTAGATTTGTCACTGATTTTGGTCATTTGTCATTGAAAAAAGGCTTTGTGAAGCGGGTCCCTGGTGGTTCCTGTATTAAGTCTATGGGAACAAGAAAATTCAGTAGTCAACTGGTTAATGTGTGGTGATCAACGTTATGTAGGTTGTAACCTTTACAGAAGCTGACAGCAATGAAGGGTGTCATCATTTATAAGATTCATATATATATATATTTTTTAAAGGACAATTTAAAATGGTTAGGGAGCTCCTTAAGAGATGTTTGTTGAGATAGAAAAAAAAGGTGAGCAGATAGGGAAAGAGATAGATGAGAAGAGAAGAGAAGAGAAGAAGAGGAGGAAAGGTAAGAGGAGGTAAGAGGAGAGAAGATGGAACAAAGACTAACGGAGCTCACAAAAAGAATAAAAACAGAGAAAGCGAAAGAGTAAAATGCAAGGGAAACAAAGAGAGAGAGAGAGAAATGAGAAATTGAAGATTGAAAAAACAAACAATCAAATATAGTATCCTGGGCTTCTCTGAAGTAATTGATATAGTATATGATGTATCAGTTTGCATCTAGGATAATTTGGATCAATAAAAACATTGCTGGAACACAGAAATATTACTACATGTACAATTAAAAAAAATAGAAAGATATAAATATGTCAAGAAAAAAACATGTTTATTGCATGTATATCTTGACAAACTGGACACATCACACAAGCTTGTCCATAACAAATATTTGTTGAAGTTACAGTTTTTCCCTTTCTGCCTGACCTGAATTCAGAGGGGTTACACCGATCCTAACGTACGATAAATCTCACATCTCATGCCAACGCATCACAAATATTTGCACAGAGAGACGTGACAACCCCTCCAGCAGATCAATAATATCAGGGTTTGGGCGGGCGTTCACCACAGCAAGCAACCCACTCACTAGAGCATGACACGTGTTTTCCTCTGCAGCTGTCAAAATCATCGGTGAGGTTCCCCGAATCCCGCCCAAATCATCCATTGTTTGATGCGACAACAGATGTTAGATGAGGACGGCCGCTTCCACTCTCAACCGGGATTTGTTACAAACCTCATATAAACCTCTGCTGAGTTATGAAACCAAAGTTAAAGGTGGAAATGCTTGCTATCAGTATGTCTGCCAGTCATTTTGAATTGTAACAGATAGGTATGATTGTGGATCATGGGATTTTTCTTTAATTTGGATCACAAAATATGCAACAACATTACTGAATATTGTGGATAATTTTGTTCAACAAAAAACACAATTGATGCACATGTGTGATTGGGAATTAAATTAAGTTGTTTGACTGGATATTTGAAGATACTCCTCAAATATATGAAGACAACTAATCCTAAATTCGATGAGAGGGTTTTTGAACAGAAACATAATATACCCATGTTCCGCTTTCTTTTCATGGGCAATAGTCTAGAAATGATGACCTCTGATGCTTTTAATGGTCATGCCAATGAAGGATTCATATCTCCATTTTCATCTCTAAGGTCATACACGCATTCTATTTCTGGCTTAAAATGGGAAGGTGGAGAGAATGAATGCCTAGAATCTCTCTGTTCCTTAGGTATTCCTTTTTTTATATTATGCTGAATGCTTGTTTGTCTTTCATAAATTTTTTAATTAATAAAATGTTCCCCTAAAACTTACCCTTATTACATAGACAACATTAAGGGATGTAGAGAAAGAGAAATATACAGAGAGAGAGCTCTTTATCTTTCCCTTTCTCCCAACAACCCTCCCCTTCATCTCTCTCTCTCTCTCTCTCTCTCTCTATATATATATATATATATCTGTCTCTCTCTATCCTCTATTTTTCTCTCTTCTATCTTTATCTCTTCTATCTCTCTCTCTCCCCTTCTCTCTGTCTCTCATCATACTTCTCTCCCCCTTGACACCAATGTCATTAAGCCCACCTGTCTCCTTTCAGCATATCACTAATCAAATCTACAATCCTCCCACATCTTTTACCTCATTGGGTCTAGGGCAAAAAAGGTAATGGCGCTCATTAAATCCACCCCTTCAAATGCAATGAATAGCCTTCTAATTAATGCCCCTTCTAATTTTTTTTATATCTGTACACAATATTTTAGTCTAGATTCAATATCTATTTACCCATTTTCAGGAACATACCGGTAGCCATTTTGGACCATCTCATTTGTACCCTACTCTTCCGTTTTCCACCAAATATCAAGATGAATTAAATACCCCTTGTGCCCCTCCCTCTCCAAAAAAAAAGGAATCTGAGAAAAACTATTTGGAGATCATATCTGATTTAATGAATTGGCAAATGCTAGGAAAAAGTAAATCAAGTTTCCCGATGACCGATTTGTCCTCTAATTTGATTAGTGTCCCCAGGTGGTTTCATCTCATAATGCATGCCATGTATGATGCAAGCAGAAACAAAATTCAATATTCAATATCGTAGAATTCTCTGAAAAGCCAAGTGCATTATCCAGGATGCATCTGTGATGTGAGGGAAGGGGTTAACCAATTAAGGGCAAGGTTAATGGGCCATTATTGAAATAATGAGACAGATTCTGATTAGATTTTGAGATTCATTTTGCTTCCTGGAAGATTTCTGTTGACAAGTGCACTTCTGTACTTTCAGATGAATTCGAATTAGAGGCATGGGATCGAAATCACTAACAAAATTTGTGAAATGTTGTGATAGAAATCAATTGCTCGCCTTTCATTGCTGGTACAGGATAACGGATGTTCTATCCAAAATATATTCAATACAGTCTTCGCGGCATGGATAAACCAACATCCCATGGTTCACTACTTTCAAATAATGCAGCAAGCGGTCTACGTGATGCATGGATGCACAGTTAATCATCACTGATGAAAATTCTCCCCTGTACTGATACCGGTAATCAAAATTCATGGAAAATACAGTGAAGGGGAAAGCATGATTCACAAACACTCTAGAAATACGTTAAGCCTCCACAAAATGATTAATGGAATACCCACTTTAAGCCTCTACTATGTGATAAAAGAAATTCCAATTTTAAGCCTCCACAATTATGATAAACAGAATTCCCATTTTCAGCCTCCACAATATTATAAATGGAACTCCCATTTGAGCTAAACCTGGGGATCAATTATTTATTTATTTATTTATTTATTTGTTTGTGTTTTAGTCATTGGATGTGGGCGTTTTCAAGGGTTTAGAATTCATATGCTGGGAGGATGTGGTTGGGGTCTAGGGATGTCATAATTTATAGAAATAAACACCTACACCTAGTGTGAATTGAAACTATGTTGTTCGCAGAAAAGGGCTCTTACCAATAAACGTGAGTGTACCATGACACATCAAGGCATAAATTAGTGATTATCATATGCTCGTAATTTTCCCATTGTCTGCTGCCTCGAGCCTTTGTTTTAAACTGCACACTGGAACCAACAATTAATAGAGTGCATTAAAGCGTTGGTCATGTTTATCTTTTTCCATCAGTTTTATGATTTAAGCTTTAATAATGTTTATCCCACTGTGCGCTGTATGCTCAGTATCAATGACCTACTAAAGGTTTGGGTCAACAAATTGTTTTCTTGTCCTAATTGCATTGGTAATACATGTACATTGTGAAGGCTGCTGCTAGGTGAGATACCTCATGCTGACATAAACAGAGCGACGATCCATACATTTGACTCTTTGACATTCAATTATGCCTGTAAACCTATCAGCACAGAAGGAGTTAGATTAGAAGAAAAAACAAACATAAAACACCAACAAATGAAATGAAAGGAATAACGATCGTATATAACATCAACATTTTCAGAATGATAATCACGTTTTTGTAACAGGAATATTTACACTCTATGAGCTGATTCTGTGAATTTGCATCATTTACCCATTTCAAGATGGAGATATGAAGGTAAAGTCAATCAGGATAACCCTGACCTCGCCCAGACTGGCTTGTTTGTCTCCAATTTGGATTTCCAAACGATCAAGCTTCTAAAAATAGCATCCTATTTAATTCAATGGAGAGAAAATAGCATTGGAGATGAAGCGATCAGTCTATAGAATAGCAAAACCGAATTGATGGTTGCTTGCTTTAGTAGCGTTTTATGCAAGGATAGAATAAAAAGCATTAAATGCACCACCACACGAATATGCTTTTTTATTTGCTAAGTGATTGCTGAAAATCTGTTGTTTTCATCAATCAAAATGTGTACTTTGGCAGCTAGACAATTGCTTATCAACTCATTTTCGTGATGTTATTAAAATGAATGCATAACTCTTTGTCAAGTACCTCGTTACAATTATTCATAACAATGAATAATTGTATTTCAATAGTCAGAATGCGAATTGCATACATTACCTGTTGTTATGTAGGACAAGGGAAAATGTTTGTTAACTATATTTGATAAATTGGTAAAACAGAAGATGGTGTAATATACTTTGCATCGCATTGTAAAAATCACTATATGAATGCTACGCTTCATAAGATAGCAAATTAAGTACAGATAAATTAGTGTACATTTATGATATAACTGTAAATATTCAGAAAACTGGTTGCATATTACCCTTGTAGATTTGCTTAAATTTGTCTGAGGCCCTCACATAGAATATTCAGTGCTTGCCCATAGGCATAGACCAGTATTGATGTAGTGCACGTCCTTGTGCCCTAAATATTCAGATACGCTAATGATGAATCAGCTACACAATGCTTTTAGCATAATTAATTCCAAGTCTACAAGGTGCTCCATGGATAGAATTTGTACCTTTTGATAAAAACTACTGACACCTTTATATTGCATGCATGGTGCATTAATGGATACTGATGGCAGACATTCA